AATAAGAAGAATTCCAAGCCGGCAAAAAGTTGAAAATAAGAATAATTCCAAGCCGGCAAAAATGTGTATCTGCAGAGCTTAGAGGAGCTCTGCAGATACACTTAGAGGAGCTCTGCAGATACACTTTTTGCCGGCTTGGAATTATTCTTATTTTCATCCTACTTCTTCTTCTTCTTTCTTCTTCTTCATCCTCCTCATCCTCATCCTCAGAAGAAGAAGAGAGGATGAGGATGAGGATGAAGAAGAAGAAGAAGAAGAAGAAGAAGTAGGATGAAAATAAGAATAATTCCAAGCCGGCAAAAAGTGTATCTGCAGAGCTCCTCTATTCTGCAGATACACTTAGAGGAGCTCTGCAGATACACTTTTTGGGCTCTGCAGATACACTTTTTGCCGGCTTGGAATTAATCTTTTTTCATAGCTCCTCTATTCTGCAGATACACTTAGAGGAGCTCTGCAGATACACACTTAGAGGAGCTCTGCAGATACACTTTTTTGACGGCTTGGAATTAATCTTATTTTCATCCTACTTTCTTCTTCTTCTCTTCTTTCTCATCCTCATCCTCATCCTTCAGAAGAAGAAGAAGAGGATGAGGATGAAGAAGAAGTAGGAAGAAGAAAAGAAGAATGGTTAAATTGAAAGCCGGAAAAAAATTCCAAGCTCGGCAAAAAGTGTATCTGCAGAGCTCCTCTATTCTGCAGATTCACTTAGAGGAGCTCTGCAGATACACTTAGAGGAGCTCTACACTTTTTGCCGGATTGGAATTAATCTTATTTTCATCCTACTTCTTCTTCTTCTTCTTCTTCTTCATCCTCATCCTCGGAATGAGGAAGGATGAAGAAGAAGAAGAAGAAGTAGGATGAAAATAAGAATAATTCCAAGCCGGCAAAAAGTGTATCTGCAGAGCTCCTCTAAGTCTTATCTGCAGAGCTCCGCTATTTTCTGACAGTTCTCTGTGACATTCACTCCATACAGCGGTTTGAAACATTGTATCTATTTGTTTCCATAAATGGATCCATTCATGGAAAAAATAGATACAATGTTGAAACCGCTGTATGGAGTGAATGTCCCAGAACTGTCAGAAATAGGCTATTTCTGACAGTTTTCTGACAGTTCTGTGACATTCACTCCATACAGCGGTTGAAACCGCTTCTGTATGGAGGTGAATGTCCTTCAGAACTGTCTCCTTAGACAGAAACTGTCTTCTGTCCTTCTTTCATCCTTCTCCTTCTTTCTCTTCCTTCTTCTCATCCTTCTTCTCATCCTTATCCTTCTTCTCATCCTTCTCTTCTTCTCATCTTCTCCTTCTTCTCATCTTTCTCATCCTTCTCCTTCTTCTCATCCTTCTTCTCATCCTTTCCTTCTCCTTCCTTCTCATCCTTCTCCTTCTTCTCATCCTTCTCCTTCTTCCTTCTTCTCATCCTTCTCCTTCTTCTCATCCTTCTCCTTCTTCTCATCCTTCTCCTTCTCCTTCTTCTTCATCCTCTCATCCTTCTCCTTCTTCTTCTTCTCATCCTTCTCCTTCTCCTTCTTCTCATCCTTCTCCTTCTTGTCATCCTTCTTCTCATCCTTCTTCTCATCCTTCTCCTTCTTCTCATCCTTCTCCTTCTTCTCATCCTTCTCCTTCTTCTCATCCTTCTCCTTCTCCTTCTTCTCATCCTTCTCCTTCTCCTTCTTTCCCATCCTTCTCCTTCTTCTCTTCTTCTCCTTCTCTTCTTCTCTTCTCCTTCTCTTCTCTCCTTCTCCTTCTTCTCATCCTTCTCCTTCTTCTCATCCTTCTCCTTCTTCTCATCCTTCTCCTTCTTCTCATCCTTCTCCTTCTCCTTCTTCTCTTCTCCTTCTTCTCCTTCTCCTTCTCCTTTCCTTCCTCATCTCCAAGGGCATTTAAATTAAAGGTACAGTGTTCTGCACTAATTTAAAGGCTCTCTGAAGCCTAGAAACCCTTTTTATAAGTTAACTTCGTAGCGAATTAATTCGCATCGAATCGAATTTCTTCCTGAAATTCGGCGAATCAGCCGAATCGAATTTTTGAATAATTCGCTTGTTGACCATTTGCAACAAAAGGTTTGATGGTTCTGTGATCACGCCCAAATATCTTAGCAATTTTAAGACTGCTACATACCTCTGAAAGACTTTTTACAATTTTTGACTTTTCAGAGTCAGCTAAATCTCTTTTTTGGCCCATTGGTCACCTGATATACTTAAATCCAATAAGCATTTACGTTTGTACAGCTGGGGGGTGGACAATCTGAGTAGGATCTCGAGTAGGATCTCAAGAAATCACAAGCATCCTACTCATGTGTGTTGGGGTTGCCCCAAACCTCAGCAGCAGCAACACTTGTCCTATGTCCTCTTTTCTGCAGGGCTGGCTGCAAGTACATTACTGAGCCTAGATTGGAGGGGTTATGTATATAGCATACTGCACACCAGGGGTGTATTTACCACAAGGCAAACAAGAGAAATGTGCACCATGAGAACCAAGTGGGATCCAAGAGAGGCTGCGGGCTGTTTGATGGTGTATGTAGAGCCTGGCTCTGGCTCCTGGGGATGTCCAGAGCTGTGAAGATGAGTCTCTCTATCGCCGGGGGGTTGGTAATGGAAGGCTCTCCCAGGTGGGGTGCAGGGGTGTTGTTGGTCAATGTTATTCTCTCTCCACAGGAGGGGGAAGGGGGGGTTGTGTTGGTTGGTGTCCATGTGGACAGACAATTTTTTGTGTTGCCTAGGGCAGCACAAAACTTAAATGCACCACTGCTGCTGCACACAATAGAAAGCCCAAATCCTGAGCCAATCTCATCCATTTGTTTGCTCAAATAAGGCGCACTCTTTAAAGTGGTTTTACACCATTACATATACCCAGTAACTAGCCTCCAGTGGTGCACAGAGATGAAACAAATCCTCCTATATACAGTATGTTGTACCTGTTTATCTGCAGTCTTCTCTGCTCTACATTCATTCAAAGAATAGAATTTATATGGCTTGTGTAGTGTAGGCTTTTATTAGTTATTGATTTACAAGAAACTTAGTAATCCTTTAATGTTATCAATTATGTTAGTGTTTAAGTAATCACTTCTATCTATATACAGTATATAATGTGTCTAATGTATACTGAGACATATGGTCTCATTATTCTGTGGGAAGTTGGGAACCTCTGACCTTTCTATTCTATGGTATGGCTCAAGCCAGTTTTGACTACTTTTTAGACTGCTATATATGCTTGGAAGACAAAGAGCCATTGGAGCTGGATTCAGAAGAGAGGTATGAATCAAGGACTGTCACCCTCCAGGAACTTCAAATCAAGAAGTTGTGAACTGCCTTTGGATTGAATATGCAATATTTATCTATTTTTATCATCTGTAATACATCTTTGTACCAAACTAAGTAAATTCCATTTATTATTATACTCTCGAGTTGACTGAAATTATTGTACAATACCCCACATATCTGAGAGATTAAACATAGGAACTTTCAAATAATAAAGTCTAACCATTATTACAGCCTGTCTGAGCTTTCAGAAAGCAGAGGGTGGGGAGCTGGAGTTACACCCTGCAGAGCTCAATGAGAATAGCTCTGAGAGCTGATTTGAGGGAAGGGACACACCCCCCTTCACACAGCACACAGGAACAGAGCTGAGGCTGTCAGTTACAGGCTGTGTGCTGGAGCTCCCTCTGCTGTCACCTTTTTTCTCTTGGTGTCAGCAAAACTTGTCAGAAGTGACTCATACTGATAACAGAGGAACAAGGCAGCAGATAGATATTACACTTAGTTCTCTGGATTAATACACATATACACAATAAAGGGATATGCTTTGTTCATATTTCATGTCAGAGGTTTACCACCACTTTAGGCACCTCATATTTAAAAAAGTACATATTTTTTTCTAGTGAATAGGCTGTATCACTAAAAAAAAACACTTATGGTGTCCAAAAATTGTATTGCAGGGGCAGAGCAGTCTGGGGGAGGAATGGGGTAGTTGTAGACTAAGCAAAGAGATTTTGAGAACATGTCCCAGGTGCCCAGGCTTATCAATGCTACTCATGTGACCAAATGTCTTTTAATTCAATAATTTGTTGTATCTTAGAAGTAAGTCAACTTTGACACAGCAGAGAACTCCCCCACTCCGAGAAGCTAAAAGGTTTTGTCAAATGTTGGTGCATTAATCAAAAAGGCACTTTGATACACCGCATTTCAAGTTTCACTCATCAGCATTCAAAGTACATGTTTGTTAAAAGGAAATAAATGTAATGTTTAACAGCCTCTGCTCTCTGTAAATGTGAGCGCACCCTCCTCTCTCCTCTACGCCGTGTGATTTTTACCTGCCAACTCTAATCAAGCATAAGGATAATGATTAATATTAGCTAACAGCAAAACACTTATTTGGAGAATTATTTTTTTTATGTTGAATGCGGAATGCAGCGGGAAAAATTACTATTTACCAACTAAAACGTGACATAAAAAAACAGATAATTTAGATTTTTCTTTTCTTTTCTTAACAAACACAGTGTGAAGAATTGCACATATGGAGATTCGTAGTACAATTTTCCAACATAATAAAATGCAGCTGTTAAAAGGGAACTCCATTTTATATGGTGTCGTTTCAGACAATGCGAATGTGGGATTATGTTATCAGTGGGTTAAAAATCATAATGAATATTCGTGCCTTTGACACCATCACCCTTATCCAGACTTGTGAAACAATCAAACTAGTGTGATTAACAGCAAGGACACCATAGGAGAACTAGACTACTCCTCCTTAAAGCTGAGCTCCACCCAAAAGGGGACGTTCCGCTTTAAGCCTTTTTCCCTCACTCCCCATTAAGGATTGGCACCTTTGGGGAGCGGATACCCGAATTTGACAGGTACCCCACTTCCGCTGTGATCACCTCTTGTGGTAGCACCCAGATGTGGTAGAGTTCCCCTAACATTTCTAGCAGCCTGTGTTTTTAGAAGCAAGGTTTTTGGCTCATCTTCCCCCCTCCCTTATTTCCTGTGAATGATGTGTATCCAGGGGCGGACTGACCATTTGGAAATTCGGACACTGCCCGAGGGCCCGGGGTCAGTAGGGGGCCCCATGAGATGCCCTGGTACCTTTTTCATAGGATTTTTTGAGTTTGGGCAAGGACACAGGGGCCCCATGATCCCCTATTGCCCAGGGGCCCCATGAGTTGTCAGTCCGCCTCTGTGTGTATCGGTTTGTAACTGGGATTCTTATCTGCAGCTGCTGGCCAAGGTTATTCTGTAGAGTTTAGGAAGCCTTTTGAGGGTATAGAAAGTAAGAAAGGAATGTATGCCTTGTGGCGTAATCGTTGGTATATTCGCTTGTAGGCAGTTTTCTATAACTCACTTAGCAGATGAGCGCAAGATACATCTGTTGAGTCAAAACAGCACTGTTTTTAATAAATCATTTGTATTCCTCAAGTCCGTGTCCGGAGTTATCTGGTTTGCCAAAATTGCTACTATACTCCCTCTCCGTAGTCTTCTGGGACACGTGACAGGTCCCAGAAGACTACAGGGTCATTCAAAAAGTGCAGCGCTTCTCGTGCATATGCAGTGGGCACCCAGCTATGAATCCACAAACTGTCACAGCCAGGTGCCCACACTGAAGATGTCGGCACCAGGGAGAGAAGATGGCCGGTGAACCCAGTGGTTGTGAGGACACCGCTGGACCGAGGGACAGGTAAGTGGCTGTATTTTAAAAGTCAGCAGCTATAGTTTTTTTGTAGCTGCTGACTTTTATTTTTTTTTTTTTCCAGGTGGAACTCCGCTTTAAGCCTGGTACATATGTTAAGATTATCAAGCAAATGATCGTCCGTTTTTTTTTTTTTTTGTTTTTGCATGCTAGTCTCCATATTGAAAATGAAGAGGTTACTAAAGTTCTGAAAAAACACGTACGACAGAATAAAAACTTAGAAGTGATGTAACGTATTGTATTTGTATTGCATTTTTGGATAAAAACTGTACTGAATAAACAAAAATCGTACGAGAAAGATTTTAGTGCTTGTCCCTTTGGATAATTTCCCATGACCTGTTCTGATTGGCTCTTGAAACCTTTGCACTAACGATCAGATTGTGGCTGCAATGCTTTGCTTCATGACTGTGGCAAAAAATGAAACAGTATGCAGTGTTCAGTGGTTGGTACTGCTGCCGAATGTGACCCATATAATTGTATAGGGCTGCCCCACATCTGCCCTAGTGAGGCATTTACAGGTTTTAAAACAGGTAGTCCCTGCCTCCCCACTTTACAGAGAGGAGGCAGGGGCTACCACACATATAAGCAAGCCCTAATACATGAATCCTCAGACCTCGGTACCTGGGGCATAACTAGAACCTTCAGGTTCCTGGTGTAAAAAACATGAAAGTCCCCCTTGACTCGAGCCTGGGGCCCCTTACTCCTATCATGGCCTTTTAGTATGGTCCCGCAGTGGACCCTTTCACATGTTCTGCAGCAGGCTCCCTTCCTGCCTTTACATTAGAATTCCCCTTACATTAGAGTGCCCAGCATTCCCAGAGCCCCTTTTACATCAGAATCTGATGTAAAGAGGAACTTTGCAGACCCTGATGTAAAGAGGAACCTTTGCAGACCCTGATGTAAAGAGGAACTTTGCAGACCCCGATGTAAAGAGGAACTTTGCAGACCCTGATGTAAAGAGGAACTTTGCAGACCCTGATGTAAGAGGGAATGTTTTGGACTCTACTGTAAAAGGGAACTCTGGTGTATAAGGTTCTCTGGTCGCCAGAGCCCCCCATTACATCAGAGTTGCAAAGCTCCTCCTTACCTCAGAGTCTGCAGAGATCCCCCTTCTTGCGGATGCTTTTAAATTAGCTGGAAAGGCACCAACTGCCTGACCAGAGGGCCCCCCCACCCGCTCAAGCCTATCCCCACCGAGCCCAAGCATGCACAGTTTCATAGCCAGCCAGTTAGTAATTGACTGAGCTCAGCTCAGGCTCGGAAGGGTTTGGTGTGAGCAGGGAGGTGGGGGGAGGGACTGGGCCGCTGGTCAGGTACACAAGGAGGGGGCATGGGGGGAGAAGAAGCAAGCTCGAGGACAACAGTAGTTTAGTTGGAATTTTTCTGCTGTTTACGAACAGCAGAAAAGTGCCCTTTTTTAATGGCAACACTGCTTGAGGCCCCCTCCACAGTGGTGGAACGCCAGGACCAGGGGCGGACTGACCATTTGGAAACTTGGGCACTGCCCGAGGGCCCAGGGTCAGTAGGGGGCCCCATGAGATGCCCCTGGTACCTTTTTCATAGGCTTTTTTGAGTTTGGGCAAGGACACAGGGCCCCTATGATCCCCTATTGCCCGGGGGCCCCATGAGTTGTCAGTCCGCCCCTGGCCAGGACCCTGTTGCAAGTGCGACCTTTGTGACTCTGGTAGTTCCGCCACTGCTCAGTACCTTTTCTCTTTAATGTTAAAGCGTAGCTTAGAAAAGTAGAAAGAAAATGGTCAAGTATAGGGAGCAGATATAAGGAGTGATCTATGAAGTATAGCAACCCATATCAGCAAATTATATTTCACCAAGGCGTATTGTATTCTACATATTGAGGTTCTGCATTAAAGCAGGCACCATAAGGTGCCATAATATACCTTTGTTTTTGCTCTTCATCCCTTTATAACATCTTCACAACACTTTGAAATGCAAAATCAGATTTCCTGATCGTGAGATCATAGTCATACTCCCTGCCATCATTCCACAAAGCAATGAGCAATGCTTGGGGAACAGGTCTATGCTCTGGCATTCAGAAGGCAGTATTTTTCATACATACTGGAGGCTGTGGGGCTCATTACCTGCACTAACAAAGGCTTGTTTATAAGTGTTTTATTGGTTACAGGATAATGTTAAAGAACGACAGTAAGGTAAAAGTCACCATTAAATATATTACATTTAAAGGGTAACTCCACTTTCATGTGGAAAAAAATAGCAAATGAAAAAAAAATAAAAATAGTATATAATTGCTACACAAGCCATATTGTAATTGAATGGTATAAAAACTATCTTTGTTTTTCAATCCGCAGGGCAGATCTGTAATATTCTGTAACATGTAATGCAATATGGCAGCCTGGAGGTGTTCGGTACACAGATGGTGTACAGAATACCTCTCAGAAATGTAATTTCCTGCTTGTGTGATTGGCTTATTTTCCCAGAAGTCTGCACCAAGATACAAGTCAGATTTTGGGTGTCCCCTGCATCAAGGCTTTCATTTTTGCTGAGATACTCCAAAAGGGATATTACATCTAAAGAGATGCAGACCCGGCCACTATCCTCATTAAAACCCTGCAAGTGCAGCAGCTGATTGATAATTTTTAAAAAGTCACTCCCATTCACATTCAGTGCACACGGACACAAACCACTATTGCCTCAGAATTACAAAATGCAGGACTATACAAAAAAGTTTGGTAAAATCCCTTCAATGTACATAGATCACCCAGAGGAGAAGGTTTTTTTTTCTCAACAAAACTGGAGTTCGCTTTAGGATTATATGCACATGGAAGTTTTTACTTTGAATATGAGCTAAAGTAGGACAGCAGTATCCAAGTATCAGTCAGATACAGGGGCGGACTGACCATTTGGAAACTTGGGCACTGCTCGAGGGTCCGGGGTCAGTAGGGGGCCCCATGAGATGCCCCTGGTACCTTTTTCATAGGCTTTTTTGAGTTTGGGCAAGGACACAGGGGCCCCATGATCCCCTATTGTCCGGGGGCCCCATGAGTTGTCAGTCCGCCCCTGGTCAGATATTACATACCTGGTGGTAGAATGATTGTTTTATATTAAGTACGGTTTTATTGGAGTTCTTTATTTATTTGGAGTAGTTTTTATTAAAGAAACCCAAAAGCAAAAAATATTATGTTGCAGCTTACCAATCTTTAGATGTGCTGGCTGCCTTTGTTTTCTGTTTTTCAACATTCTTTTCATGTGGTAATGTGGCCGGTAACACACTTTCTGTATGAGGGTGGCTACACTCACTCCTCCACAATATCTATGGAGGAGCAGTTTAGCCACCCTAAGGCTCCATTCACACTTGTGCGACTTCAGAATTGTGCGATTTTCATTGTGACTTTACGGTGCGACTTGATGCGACTTTGACGCAACTTTGATGCGGCTTTGGATGAGTGCGACTTTGGCTTCGACCAAGGATGATTGTTTGTGCTGCACAAAGTCACACACAAGTCGCATGTATATCATTCACTCACTTTCATGAAGCTTTGGAGGGATTACAATGATGTCTATGGTCCTCAAGTCGCATGAAAGTCAGACCAAAGTAGTACAGGAACTACTTTCAAGTCGCTGCGAAATGAATGGTACTCATTGGGAAACATGGGGTGCGACTTGTCATGAGATTCCAGACATCAAAGTTGCATGACAAGTTGCACAAGTGTGAATGGGCTTTTTGGCAGCAGCATTGTCAACCTGTGGAGAAGGAAGCGTTTAGCTAGACTAGAAGGTGTAGATGGGCTTTACATGACTGACTAACATATAAAGCCCCCTTTCAGCTAACATTTTTTAGGCAGTCACAGCAGTGTGCCCAACCTTCTGGCCTGAGGGCCACATATGGCTCTTTGGTACTAGCTGTGTGGCCCTTTGCAGGGCCCAGCAGTCAGCTGGAGTAGCACTAGCCTGTAGTTAGGCTTTGATGACAGTAACCTCTAGCCGTCTCATGCAGCATGTCCCCTGTCTCTGACTATCTCCTGCAGTGTCCATTCACCCTCCAAGCACCAGCGTTGCATGTCTGCAGGCTTCTGCAGTCTATCATCTCCTCTAGTGTGTCTGAAGTCTCTGAAAGTCTTTTTTTTATATACTGAAAATTATGTGTGACCCTTTGGAGCTGTCAGGGCCCCCCATTCCTTGTACGTTGACAACCACTGAGTTATAGCCACAGTTTTTTTTTTTACTTTTGGGATGAAGGTTTTACATAACAGAATAAACGCTGACCATTGTAATCACCCATCACTGGTAAAAGGCTTGTCTCAACCCTCTATCTGTCATTTTTCCTGGATAGCTTGGCCTGGTAAATTAAGTTGAAAAGTATCATATTTCTTGGCAGGATCAACAGGTAGTACAGGGGAGACTGTACTAATACAAAGACCGCTATGCTACGGCTACTGACAAACTGCATCATATACCGTATTTTTCGCTCCATAAGACGCACTTTTTTCCCCCCAAAAAAGGGGGGGAAATGTCAGTGCGTCTTATGGAGCGAATATAGAGTGGCCGGTCTGGTATTTCCACCGCCGCCGTGTCAGAATACCGGGCCGGCCGCTCAGCTCTGCAGTGGGACCTTACCTGTTCCTCTATCTAGCGCCGCGCTGTCTTCCTGGCTTCTGTAGTGTGCGTGACAGCCGGGTCCCAAGTGCGCATGCACAAGAAGCGGTGCTCTTTGTGAATGGTAAGGCGGTACCTGGGACACATGACAGATCCCAGAAGCCGCCGGACCAATCACAAAGCGCAGCGCTTCTCGCTCATGCGCACTGGGCACCCGGCTGTCCGCCGAGCGCCCACACTACAGAAGCTGGGAAGACAGCGCGCGGCTGGATCGAGGAACAGGTAAGATCAAAGAAAAACTCTGCGGAAGTAAGAGCGGGTACCTGTCAAATTCAGGTACCCGCTCCCCCCTCCCTCCCCAAAGGTCAGCAGTCATCTCCTGTACTGTCCGCAGTCTCTGGTCATCCCTGTACTGTCCGCAGTCTCTGGTCATCCCTGTGCTGTCCGCAGTCACTGGTCATCCCTGTACTGTCCGCAGTCTCTGGTCATCCCTGTACTGTCCGCAATCACTGGTCATCCCTGTACTGTCCGCAGTCACTGGTCATCCCTGTACTGTCCGCAGTCTCTGGTCATCTCCTCTACTATGTCTGCAGTCCATTAGTTCAGAATTTTTTTTTTCCTGTTTTCTGCCTCTAAAACCTAGGTGCGTCTTATGGTCAGGTGCGTCTTATGGAGCGATAAATACGGTACTATGTTGCAAAAATATTGGGACGCCTGCCTTTACACACAAATGAAACGAAAATGATAGAGACTATGATTTATAAAAATACACACGTGAACAGACAGAAAAAAAATATTTAGGGTAACATAAACTTTAACTCTTTCTATAAGAGAGGTAGCTGATTCTGTTCCTACATAGATTTATCTCATTGGTATGGGTCGAAAAAGTAACATTTTCCACATATTGATTTTCAAATTTTGCCAGATGTATTATTTGTTTTTCATACAATCTTTGCAAATTGCTACACCATCACACCGTATTTTTCAACTTCAACTTGCAGTTATTCTACTGATGGCGCTGAGTGGGAGAGGAGGCATGGTTTTGTTTAGTGCTGGCTGATCATCTTATAATAAGAGGTGTTTTTCAGGGTTGAGTGGCCTTTCTTTAAGTGGTGCATACTAGAAAATGAGTATATCGTACTTGGTGGAGCAATAACCTGGGTAACTGTAATCATAGAGATATAGTGTAGGAGAGCTCAGACGATAATGAGCTGCTTTCCAAACTGTGCTTGAAAGTAGATATGTGTTTACAGATTTCTTTCTTTGGAGCTTATAAGGTTTAGGGTTACCACATTAAAATGCTGCATGGGTAAAATTCTTCATTTTTTTTCTCTTAATTACAGCATTTTGCTAATGGGGAATAAAAGAAGGGGTTTGGGGATGAAGCAAAATGCATTGTGTGTATATGCTAGTTGATGTCATGAACACTTGGAAGCAGTATCATGTGTAAAGTAGAACTAAAGGCATTTGTTTCATTGTGGATAGAGTATGGGAGGGTATAACCTCTGTTGAATCTTTTGCTATTGGTGTCCCATTGGGGATATTTGAAAAAAAAATCCTTTGATAAAGTCGGAAGTGACAAAACGCATCAGAGGTGATGTCGGATGTAGACCGGAAGTTGCCAAGTGGCCATCTTGGATGAGGTCCAGAGTGAGCTAATGCTGATTTTTAAAGGAGAAAATGCTGATATGTTATAATCGTGTGTAAGCGCTTTTTTATTGAATAAATGGTTGATTTTAATGCTGTAATACACTATGGATGCCTTTTTATTCTGACCCATTATATCCTGCTACAATCTGAACTATTTTGGGCTGAGAGCAACCGTTGTTATCCTATGCTGGAGGATTGGGGCAGCCTGACTGTCATGTGTTATGTGGAGTAAGAGTGGCCAGGAGGAGCCATTATCTCATACGGGTGCACTGGCTCAGTCTGATAAGCTGCATGGTCTATGAAGTGGAGGAGCATGGATTCACTGTTCACTGGAGGTGCATTTATGAGTTAACCTCCCAGGTGGTTTTCCCGAGTGTAGCTCGGGGTAAAGTTTTAGCACCACAAGCGGTAATCCCGAGCTACACTCGGGAATACACTGCAGCATTGCTCTGGGATCTTTTCTTCACTTACCTTGTCCTGCGCTCCCACGATGTCCCCCCTGCAGTGTCCCCGGCAACGTCCTCCAGCTGATTCCGGCATCTGTCTTCTGGGTTCCATTCCATGCGATGTCAGGACGTACGGGGGACGGAATGGCAGGCCTACGATAAAAAAAAATACATATTTCCATGCAAAAAAATGTACCGCTTTGAGCACAGAAATATGGACATAATCAGACCGCTAGGGAGGTTACGAGAGCACAACATTGATGAATTAAGGATATCATACCATATTGTAATCTTTTCGGAGGGTTTGTCATTTGGAAAAAGAATGGAAGGAAAGTCTACCTAGTGGAAGAATCCAGAAGGTGGAATGTGCTATAAGCAGTTTTCAAGGAGATAGAGGGTAAGAGTAAGGATAGCAGACATCTAGGCGTGGAAACATGGTGGAGTGCTGAGCACATTTGACACTGATTTTTGTATGTGTGATTTATAGTCAAGAATGTGTGTGTATTGAGGATAATACACTATGTGTGTTTTATCTTTTTTTGAGAGGAATGAGTGGAGAATGGAGTAGAAAACATGCATGTGAAGATATTGAAAAAAGAAGGAATAAGACATCACTTTGGGGTTATTTGATATAGAGACGCTGTAAGAGACTTTTTGTTTAGACTTTCGGGGGAGAAAGTGATACTTTGGCATCCAGAGTTATTATACCTATATATATTTATAGGGGATACCGGTTGTGTGAGATTATCTATTGGGGATATTTACCTTCACTTCCTGTCCTATAGCCATAACAGGAGTCAAGAGGAAAACCCTCCAAAATGGTTGTCACCAGGGTCACCAGAACTAGTGTCACAATTGGAAGATGTCCCCTCTATTCCTGTTCTGGTGACAATCAAAATTTGGGATTTTCTTTCACTTTCATTCTATGTGATTACGGTAAACAGGACAAGTAGCCCACCAAGCAAGAAGTCAACAATGCATTACTAAGCTTCTATCAGGAAAGGTGAGATCATATGGGGTTAATTTACTAAAGGCAAATAGACTGTTTTCAATGCAAAGGAAGTTGCACTTTGGAAGGGAATTTGCTCCAAAACTTATTGAATGAGCTGAAGCTCTGCTGACTTCCATCATCCAATCATGTGCAAGCAAAAATTTTATCTTTTTTTAATTTTCTTTACACATGATTGGGTATGCTTTGCAAAGTTAAACTTCACCTCATTCTCTAAGCTCTGGAGCAAATTCCCCTGCAAAGTGCAACTTCCCTTGCAAGCTGTGCAGCCTATTTGCCTTTAGTATTTGACTCCAAGAGGTGGGAGGAGCTGGGAACACAGGGATCACATCGCAGAAATCTCCAGAGCATAAAAAGGGCTGGCACATAACATGTACGGGTTACTCCCCCTTTAGTTATCTGTTTCTTGATCATAGTTCAGTGTTGTGTTCTATTTAACAAATGACAGATCTGATTTCATGAATCCAGAGAAAAACTGACATTTTGAAATCAGCAGTTTCTGTGCAATAAAATACTTATACAAAATAAATATTTTTCTTTTCACCAATCTTGTTACTTATGAAATAGAGATGTCAAGAACTAGACTTTTCATTTATTTATATTAACTTTCCTGACCTCTAACATTTTGTTACCAAATGTAAATCCTCTAATTACATACAATGCGGGCACCTTATGGCACCATGGTGACCTACAATGGACCTCCATGGCAGGAGCAATTTATTATTTACTTCTCTGCAAGAGACAATAATCTGAGTTCACCACTAATGGAGAGGTGAGGAGAGAAATATGTGAATGAATAGGCAGATGGGAAAAAGAGAGAGAGAGAGAGAGAGAGAGAGAGAGAGAGAGAGAGAGAGAGAGATAATAGAGAGAGAGAGAGAGATAATAAGATGATAGACAGATAGATAGACAGATAGATATATAGATAGATAGATAGATAGATAGATAGAGAGATAGAAGATTGATAGATAGATAGATAGATAGATAGATAGATAGATAGATAGATAGTGATATGGATATATGGATAGATAGATAGATAGATAGATAGATAGATAGATAGATAGATAGATAGATAGATGATAGATAGATAGATAGATAGATAGATAGATAGATAGATAATAAGGTGATAGATTGACAAATAGATGGATGAATAGATAGATAGATAGATAGATAGATAGATAGATAGATAGATAAGATGATAGATTGATAAAAAGATGAAAAGATGATAGGTAAATAGATAAATAAATAACATGATAGATGGACAGAGAGCGATAGACAGATAGATAGATAGATAGATAGATAGATAGATAGAGCGATAGATAGATAGATAGATAGATAGATAGATAGATAGATAGATAGATAAGATGATAGATTGATAAAAAGATGAATAGATAGGTAAATAGATAAATAAATAACATGATAGATGGACAGAGAGCGATAGATAGATAGATAGAAGGATTAGATAGATGGAGAGATAGATAATAAGATGATAGATTGACAAATAGATGGATGAATAGATAATAGATAGATAGATAGATAGATAGATAGATAGATAGATAGAAGATATATAGATAGAATACAGGAACACTGTATGATCAGTTGAGTTTCTGGCACACTAGTTTATGGTACTAGATAAATGAAAGCACCGTGTCATTATTACTGTGACTCATCTTGGTGCTCCTCATACATTGGGGATGGAGGTGGGGGGGGGGGTTGTTCGGCCATGTGGACAGAATAACAAGTGTGAATTCCCTCTGTCCCAGCAACGTCACATCCATCTTCTCTCTTCCATTACTTCTCAGAGCACAGTTTTATGTTCTCTGCTCATAAAATCACTGAGAAATATAACTTGTGCAGGTCATGAAAAGCAGAATTTAATGGCATAGCTGCTACCCAGTTTCTTCTTTCTCTAGTTGGTTAGTTCCTCCATGCCAGCCCATTGCAGGCTACTAAATAGGCATTTGCAGATGTGTGGGGTTAACATTGACCTCTAGGCATATATTAAAAAATGCCAATGAGAGGCCACACACACCAGGCTAAAAGAAAAACCAGTGCTCATGGCAGAAAAAAAAAAGGCAAATTTTGAGCATTTTTGTACTAGCGTTTAGGAGCGTTTAGCATTTTGTTCTGCCAGAAAACTGCTCTCAAAAATGCAAAACGGAAGGATTTTTTCTGCCTCTAAACGCGGAGCTTAAAATATGCCTCTAAACATCCTAATGTGCATGGTCACATAGGATAACATTAGCTGCTTGAATGAAGATACCCTGGTCGGGTTGCTGTGGATGGTACTTGATAGTACCTTATAGTTCTAGCAGGAGATGCCCAGAGGAGTGCCTGTTTCAGGAAAAGTAACCTCTGACCTCCATTGAATACAGGTGCTTTTTCCAATGACACAATGTGTAGTTGCTGGTTGATGGAATTCGCTAAAACATTGAGCTATACATAATTTACATTAATTTCATGATACAGTATAATGTGCTGCGAGTGTGCTGGAAATTATGTAGGCCTCCTGTTTTCTTTGCTTTATTTTCACTGAGTGATCTGGCCAGTAAGTCTGTTGTTTTTCAAAAGAACAACCTCTCTTGCAGATTTATAAGTTACAGGGATGCGAGAAACCATTTAACACTGGCAGGAGTGCTTACAATGATCATTCTTCAAGTGTTACTAAACCCTGGACCTTGCATTCACTATATCTGGTCTCCCACAGTACACAAAACATGGAAGTGCAATTATTTTAGTAAATATAAACTGCTAAATACCTTATCTCAGCAGCAGCTAGAGCAGTCTTGTGACTTCAGCCAAGCACTGGTCAAAGCTTGTAGGAGGAGTTTTCTTTCTGCTCTAGGAGGATGCAAAACCCCTGACCTCTGTCTGAACAGTGCTGATTGGCCCTGTGCTGATCACATGCACTCTCCCAAGAAAAAAAACAACCTTTTGAGCAATACACACTAAACTCAGCATGTGTAGAAGGGCTATGGGTTCAGTCTGTCTTATCAGTGCGGACATTTGAACAAGAGGAGGATCAGAGAAGTCAGGATCAAACAGCCTTTTTACACAATGCAGAGGATTAACCTCTTCCACAGTGAGTATAACAAGCATGCTTTACTGCATATACAGACTGATTTTACTGTTGTGGGTTTAGTAACACTTTAATTTATTTATCTAAATCCTTTATCCCAAAAGTAAAAAAAAAAAAAAACAGATTGATATAACTGCTTTATAAAGTATTAGCTGGAGTTTGGCTTCAGTTTGTTAGTATATTCAAATCTGCTAGTACTTCTACCACTCCACTCCACCTAGACTGGCAATGCTACTGTCCAAAGGTGCCCCTGTGCTCCTTCATCCAAAGTGGAGGCACAGGAGGTGTGTTACTGGCCAGATCACCATGTGAAAACAGAGGGAAAAGCTTAAAAAAGAAAATGAATGCAACCACTACATCTAATGATTGGTAAGCTGCAATATATTACATTCTTGGTTTTGGTTTTAATACCACCTTAAGTCCACTTGCTAATAAATCCCATCATAATTTCTCTTAAAAATGTTTAATTCAAAAGCATTAAATAACATTTTGGTGTGGAACTTATGCATAAAAAGAGCCCCTTCTCCAAGATCAATAACTGCTTCCGCGCCACCCTATAGCAGAAATACTGCTATAGGGCAGCACAGGTGCACAAAATCACATATACTGTATATACGTAGGGTAGGTACACATGTCGCCATTCGAGGCCTTGGTTGTCAATCACCAGTCCCCCGGCCGGTGATTCCTTGCCGGCACCCAGTGATTGGCAAGTATTACCGAGGGGGGAGAGACCTGTGTATAAACAACACAGATCTCTCCCCTGTCAGCTCTTACACACTACATTGTATGGTTCTGCATAGCAGCGTCATACAAAGTAATGTGCTTACAATAGAAAGCACACTCACAGCACACAGTAAAACAGCACACAGTTAACCCTTTGATTGCCCCTCATGTTAACCCCTTCCTGCCCAGTGCCATTAGTACAGTGTCAGTGCTTTTTATTAGCACTGATCAATGTATTGGTGTGACAGGGGATGTCAGTGACACCAAGTCAGAATGCCCGCCGCAGTCCTGCAGTCCTGCTATAAGTCTCAGATCGCCGTAGAAAAAAAAAAATCCCAGTATATATACTGCCATTTGTAAACACTATAACTTTTACATAAACCAATTAATTTACACGTATTGGGATTTTTTTTTAGCAAAGACATGTAGCAGAAAACATTTTGGCCTAAATTTATTGTGAAATTTGAGTTTTGAAAATTTTTACTGGACATGTTTAATAGCAAAAAGTCAAAAATATATTTTTTTTCTCAAAATTGTCAGTCTTTTTTTTGTTTATAGTACAAAAAATAAAAACTGCACAGGCGATAAAATACCACTGAAAGAAAGTTCTATATGTGGGGAAAAAAGGACATAAATTTAATTTGGGTGCAGCGTTGCATGACTGCACAATTGTCAGTTAAAATAACACAGCGCCGTATCGCAAAAAATGGCCTGGTCAGGAAGGGGGGGTAAATCCTCTGGAGGGCAAGGGGTTAATTTATTTCACAATTTAGCTTGCTATAATGTATATGTTACTTGGCATTACAATAGTAATAATTGGGGTAGGTATCATTTCTGTAGGGGTCCTTTGTTGATTTTGTCCAGCTCTGTTGGCCTGCCTCTGTGTTTACATCCTTAGTGTAAAAATGTTCTGCAGCCCTGGCTATGCATGCCCACAGAATCCCAATAGGCTTACATTTGCCCTATATCAGTATACAGCTCCATTCAAGTCTATGGGGGTGACCAGCACTGAAGATGCCAAGGATGCAAACAAAGGAGCCACCTATGCCACTGGAAGTAAGATAAGCAAGCAGCTAGGGAAGGTAGATTGGGTAGTTCCCTAAAATTGAATAAAAGGTATTTCTGTCCTTTAAAAAAACAAAAATGGGGCATTTTGTGTGTTAATTCTGTTAAGCATGCCAATCAGTATTATGTCTCCACGCAGATACAGTCTTTTTTTCTCTTCTCTTACTAATAGGTGAACCAGGCTTTGAAATAAAACTATAAAAAGAACTCCAAACTACACACAATAGCAATTGTTTTCATAAAAGGCTAAGATTATTGGAAATAGAATTGCTGAGAGGAATTATGGTGGGACATCAATAGAAGAGGTTATACAAAAGATACTAAAGGAAAGGACAAAAAGTAGATTAGTACTTAGAGCCAAAACATATTGCCAAAAGGAAAAAAAAAGAATATGCATTCAATCTTGACTGTAATAGAGGATATAAAAAGGTGAATGATATTCTAAGGAAGCATTGGAATATTCAAAGAAACGATCACATCTGCACACTGCAATTACCTTTCAGCTGGAGAGTTATTTATCAAAAAGCTTAGACTGTAACATATTGCATAGACAAACTTTTTAAAGTTTTGGATGAACCAGGAACATGTAAAAGCCGAGAGTGTTTAGTTTTTTGTTTTGTTTTTTGCACTTGTAGCACTACTCCCTTAGGATCTGCTGGATTTGATTGGGTCCCCCTACGCTTTGCATGGCCAGGCAACACACATTATCCACACTTGTACTTTCAGAGTCAGTAAAACAGTCCTTGAAGTTGTTTTTCATGATTTTTATTAGGAGTTAAGAACTTTGATGGGATCTAGGAGTGTATGAGATACCCAAGGAACTGTAAAACTCGAAGACAACTTTTTCAGCAACTATGTACAAAAATGTGGATTAGTAACAGTCTCTGTTAACCTCCTCGGCAGTATGATATTTTCCGATTTTTTGTGCTGAAAGCGGTACCATTTTTTTGCATGGAAATATGTAGTTTTTTATTGTAGGCTGTAATTTTTAGGAATAACTCACTGAAATCTGTCCGAACAAGAGTCTAGTAAACATTCCGGATATGATAAAACTTGAAACACGAAATCATAAATTATAATTTAATAAATAATCATAAAAAATAATAATAATAAATTTAATTCAATAATATAATCAAACCAAAAACACTGAAATTTAAAATACAGAGGCAAATTCGCACATCGCTGAGCAAAGTCGCAAAATCGTTTTCAGTGTCTGATGACGAATTTCCCCACGAATCATTATCACTCAATTCTGCAAGTGGTTCTGATTTACTATCGCTGTTCTAAAACCGCTTTTGACGTAAAGGGACGCTTTTTGAAAGCCATGGACTTTGCTAAGTTTCCAGGCAGAAAGAACATTCAAAATGCAGGCAGGGCACAGGACAAAGCAGTAGGGACAAAATATATGTGAAATGCATTGAAACAGCAATGACAGCAAAAATGACATTTTTTAAAAATTAAAAATTTCCCGCCGGTTCCGGCGCCCGTACGTCCCGACGTCACAGGGACCGGAACACGGAAGCCGGATGCCGGCATCGGCCGGAGGAGATGGTCGGGGATGCTGCAGGGGACACATCGCGGGAGCGAAGGACAAGGTAAATGCTGCAGGGACCCCCTGAGTAACGCTGCATGGTAAGCCCGAGTGTAGCTCGGGGTTACCGCTCTTGGTACTGAAATTTTACCCCGAGCTGCATTCGGGAAAACCGCTAAGGAGGTTAAGGAGCACCAATGCCCCTTCGGTGTACCCTCTCAGACCCTGCATGATTCCTTCTCTTCACTCTGCACTGAGGATATCCCTGGGCAAGGAGACCCAAGAACTTACAATTAAATATTCCTGGAAGAAAACTAGTTGGGTCTTGCACCTGACCACCCTCTCCCTTTATCTGGCCCCAGGGGTGTAGTACTCACACTGTCAGCGTGGTGGGTTGGTAGCTGCTTTCAGGCCTTTTGCTGGACTGGTTCCTTTCCTACTGCTCAAGATATCCTCCCTAGGAGACTTTAGGCAGTGGAGATTCTCCTGTCCAGCAACCAGCCTGTAGGTAGGCTTCCCTCCTTGGGGCCCCCTCTCGCAGACTACACACTCCAGCCTTCTCTCAATCCATCTTCCACCCAGCTCCCCTCTCTCCACAGGCTATGTCATTTTTGAGGGTTGCCCCGGAAACCATGCCCAGCCTCCTTCCAGGGGATTTGCCAAAGCCTTCAAACATGCAGATCTAGACATCCTCCCCTTCCCAACCACTGTCCTAGAAAGTTTTCAGGTTTCTGGAAAGGTAAGGGGTCCAGAAGACCTGACCTTTAGAACCTCCCAGTCTGTCCTGAGGTAAACTCACTGCCTCACTCCCAGGCTGACTCATCCCAGGATGCTACTTAGCTTCAATCTAAAAAAAGAAAACAACAAAACCTATCTAACTAACCTGGAAGGTGTTACACACTGTATATATCTTGTTCAAAGGTTTCTCCCCTTACTTTTTGTTGCAGAAAAACACTAGGAATTGATAGGAAAACTCCCAGAACTTTGTTGTTGGAACAGTTGTCACCAATGAACATCCTGTTCTGGGGACAGCTGTAACATTTTGGGTTTCCCTTAATTTTATGTCCCAGTTAACATGGTCATCAAGAAAAACAGAGGGAGAATCTCCCTAATAGAGACACAGACAGCAATAAAAATCTAGAAGGGGATCTAACCTTTCCCTATTCATTCCCCCCTCAAAAAAAGCAATGGCTAGAGATACACTTTAAAACCTTCCATAAGAAAGGGTATCTGCTAGCACCCATGTAAATTTTAAAGATTGTTCTGTGTGACGTGAAAACCTTCTATCAGTCTTAGCATATAAGGCTTCAATTCTCAGATTATGCCCCAAATTTAAATACGAATTCCAGGTATAGAATTTTTTATATAGTTACATTGGTTTAACTTGGACCAATGTAACTATGCATATACTATACCCGAGGGACCCCCTACAAGCTGGAATTCATTGTAGTAGACTCCACTTCTACAGTGATCTCCAATAGCTTTGGGGTCCCATGCCGAGCAGCTGCTCTGCTGCTTTCTAAACATGGGAGATCATCATTGGGCAACATTCAGAGAATGATTTGCACTTTCTAATGGATGCATAGAATTCTCTGCTGAGGACGAGGTGGAGAGTTTGGATAGTGACGTCCAGCTTCTAGAAGGATCCCACTGGTATGGTATGTGTATAGCTCCAGGTACTCATACAGTATATGCATGTAACTATGAAAAAGATGCCATACCAGGATGAATACAGATAACATAA